AACAACACAAATGGTTCTGATCTAAATCAAGAATTGTCACTTTTGTGAGAAAACGCGATTATATCCACACAGTGCAAAAACCAGCCCCTCTTATCCCCTTCTCTTCCATTTCCCAAACAATCAACAATGCTGTTAACTTCTCCGCTAACCCTCCAATTCAAATCCCTCTCGCTCTCCACCCCATTTCTCCATGGCGGCGGCAGCGGCGCCGTCCCCTTGTTCAATCCCGGAACCTCCTCCGCCGCGCCGCGGCCGCGGCCGCCCTCCGCCGTTCGCCCCGTCATCAGGGCGATGAGGACACTGCAGGGGAAGGTCGTCTGCGCCACCAGCGACAAGACGGTGGCGGTGGAGATCGTCCGCCTGGCCCCTCATCCAAAATACAAGCGCCGCGTGAGGAAGAAGAAGAAGTACCAGGCCCACGACCCGATGAACCAGTTTAAGGTTGGGGACCTTGTCCAGCTCGAAAAGTGCCGGCCCATCAGCAAAACCAAGACTTACTGGGCCGTCCCGGCCCCGCCGCGGAACAGGTCCAAGCCCAAGGAGGGAGCCGAGGCGGAGCCGCCCAACGAGCTGGGGATTCCATTGGAGTCGGATAGCTGAAGAGGTTAAGCAAAATTGGGATTGTTCGAGTGTTGTTTTGGTTTATTTTTGTTGAACTCATGTTTATTGTAATGATGTTTAGTTGTTTACTGTTGATTTGTGTTTTGTGTGGTTTTAAGGCTGAAATAATTCATTGATGTTTGTGGGATTTGTTAGTTTTTGTTAATTGCATTTGTGTAGTTGGCTTTCTCTATGCTTGCTGGAAAATTCATGAGTTTCTTTTTTCCAAAAATCAAACATTGCAGTAATTTTTTCCCCAAAAACGTTCTGAATATGCATAAAGATGTAAACTTTAATCTAGCCAATTGACTTGCTTAGAGTAGTACTCTAAGTCTCTAATATTAGCATGCTATTAACAGTTTAACACTAAAACAAACCGTGGACTAACTCTTCGTTATCTACCCTCTTTCTAGCTATTATAGTTTCGAAAAAGAAAATATGTAACACATCTCTTATAGAACTAATTTAGTTCTATATTTAGCTAGTGATAGGTTTGCAGTTGGCTTGTCGCCTGTGAATATTCGAAATGCAGTGGTAAACAAAGATCTTCCTTTTGTGCCCTTTTCATCTGGTCTTGAAGTGAACATCAACGGCCGGGATTCAATCTTGTTGGGAAGGATGAAGAAACTCGAGGGTAAAATTGTCACGTGGCTTGAGCTGCAGCCCCCAGACAACCTGTTGTTAACAGGTGAGTACACGATTGTGAATTCGTAAGTGTTTCCGGAACTATCTTAGTGTATCCATGTGTCGTGCATTTCGGTTTTCACTGCCTGCATGTAAGAATATTGAACCCGGGTTAGAAGGACGTGTGTTTTTTTAGGATGATTATGGAAAGTATCCTTGAAGTTTTGTCTAGTTAAGAAAAACCGTCTAATTACTATGTTAAATATCGAGGCGATACGTGTGATACCTTATGAATGTGAAGGGGGTTCTGAAATGATCTTTTGCTAACCAAAGATGTGAATATAAGATACAAATAAAATCTCAAAGTACTTCTGTAAAATTGAAAATGTAGGTAGGAATTTTTGTAAGTACATTAAACCTCATGGATGATTTTCATAATTTACTCAGTGTATTATTAATAGTGATGATAAAGTCCTTGACATCTGGCTTCTATGACAAATTCCAGTTATTTCTTGAAAGTCCCAAGTACCACTTGAAATCTGTTTATAATTTCAAGTTGAACCTTGTGAATAAGGCTGTTTACTGAGCAAACACAAAACTTGAAGACTTATTTGCAATTGCAATGCTGAAAGATTATAATGGATCTATTTGTTACTAAGCTAAGAACCCAAACAGTAATTTTCAGTCATTCTCACCATGACGGCAACTCCACTTCCTCTGTTTTGCCTTTTAGCCAAGTTTGCTAGCATGTAAAGAGAGTTTTGCTAATGTTTGCCATTTCTTGCTAAAACAAGATTTTAGGACATATATCCATAACAACCTACATATAACAGCCAAAACTAAATCAATGTACATATATAATAAATCCAAACATCATTTTTTCTCAACATGGTGTCCCAACCATAGACACTTTCTCCTCCACCATGCCTCCATCATCACAAGGACCATAAGCCCAACTACACACCACAAAATACACCAAGTTAACAAAAGTCATCCCCCCCAAAAGCCAATAGTAGTACTCGTAATGCCCCTCGTTTATACTACCCGACACCCAACTCGTTTTTCCCGTTTTACCCCTCGTCCCCTCGTCCACCGCGCTCAACACCACGCTCGCCAGCAGTCCCGCGACCGCCATCCCGAACCCGAACAACGACGAGGCCACACTGGACATGCTCTTAGGGAACTCGGAATAGTAAAACTCCGTCTGCCCGATCGCGTTGAACGCCTCGGATAATCCCAAGAGGCAGTTCTGTGGGATTAGCCATAAGGCCGACATTTTCACGTCCCCTTGAGCAATCGCGCGTTTTCTTCGCGCGTGCTCGACTGCGCCCGAAACAACCATTGCCACACAAGACAAAAAAATCCCGATTCCCATCCTTAGTTTGACTCCGAGGTGGACTTTCTTGCCGGCGATTTTCGAGGCGAGGGGTAGGATCGCGCGGTCGTACAAAACGACCCAAAGGGTTAGGGTGATGATGTTGAACATGGCGAACGAGCCGGCCGGGATTTGGAAGCCTCGGGTGATGTGGCGGTCCATGGAGCTTGCTTGGAGAAGGGGGAATGAGGTTTGGCTTAGGTTTATGGCGGGAATTATGCCGGTCGACCATATTGGGATGACTTTGACTAGCGCTTTTAGTTCCTCGACTTGGTTGACCGTGCAGAGGCTCCAAGGGTCGTTCGGAGTTCCGTCGGGTGATAGGTCCCGAGGGTTCTTGATGATGCACGCCTTGTTTAGGAACCTAGAGAAGCAAGAAAAGTTAAGGTGCTTAAAGCTTCGAAAATCTATGAATCGATTTAGTTTAGCCGGGGCACGAAAAAAGATCGAATTTAGGTTCATCACCAAAAGCCATTGCAAGTGAGTTTTGTACACATTCCCAACGGTTTAACATGTAGAAAAACATCAAGGGTCCTTTGTAATTTGTGTCATCAAACCTTAATTACTAGAAACTCTTCACTAACAAAGAAATATCATTACAGCATTTATAAAGCATTTCAAAATACTCAATATCAAGGGGATTTGTGTTATCAACCTTAATTTGTCACTTGGAGTTGTATATGCCGCCGAGTAACCTTTTTCCCGATAATACTCACCCGACCCAACGCCGGGAAAATCGAGCCTTCTATTCCTCCAAGCAGCCACAATTACCTGCAAAAAGCCCGTGAAAAGGCTCTTGTTCGGGCCCTCCTTAATGTACAACTTGGATGCAAGAAAAAAGAGCACGGCCGAGAAAAACATCAAGACCACGGGCAAACCGAACCCCACTTTCCACCCCAAGTGATCCTGAACATACACTATCCCGGTTAGAGCGATTAAAACCGAGACAGCTGCCGAAGCATAGTACCACCCGAAGAAACTCTCGAGCACTCGTTTTTTTTCAGGATCGTTTTTGTCGGTCAATTGGTCGGCTCCGAATGCTAGGGAGCAGGGCCTTATGCCACCTGCTCCTATAGACATTAGCCCGAATGAAGATAGTAAGAGAGTGATTTGTGCGGGCGAGGCCCGTTTGCAGAGTTGGGCCGGCCCGCATTTTGGTGGCCTGGCAGCTGGGATTATGGCAGTTAGCCATAGCTGGATAGTTCCCTGTTATACAGTGAAACTTATGTTATTTGAGGAAAATTGAGCAACAATAGATTGAAATAAAAAGAAAAAATTGTAAACAGACAATGAGAAGGCTAGATTCAAGAAAACAAACAGCCATTAAACAGAAGGATCACAATATTAGTCAAATACTATACATACAGACTGTCATTTTCTTGAATCAACGAAAATCAAGAATAGTCCAATGCAATTTCCTAACTGACACATTAATTAAACAACCATTCATTTATAATTTCATATCCACATCTCTAATCTCAAAACGTAGTTTACTTTTCTACACACAAGACAGATCATACAGTTATAATTTCATTTTATTAACTATCATTAAAATTTAATAAAGGGAAAAAAAAAAGTGAATGCTTACCAGAAGACTGGCGATGGAACCTAGGCCAATTGTAAGAAAACGGCCAAGAAATGAATCAGCAACAAAAGCACCAATCAGAGGCATGAAATTTGTAGCTGCTGACCAGTAAAACATTAGATTTGTGGCATTTGTAAATCCCATTTTGTACTCATTCATCAGGTAAAACATCATGTTTGGCTGCAAACCATAGCTGGCCACCTTCTCAAAAGCCTCATTTGCTGTCAAAACATCAGAATATCAAAACCAGTGACCAAAGATTCAATCTTTATTGATTATTGAGTGCCAATGGGCTTTATTTACTTCAAAACAAGCCTAAAGATCTGAACTTTAACATGTTCAGATAGATTTTTCAGAGATTTTTGTGGTTGATTTGTGGTGGGATGTGCAAAAGATGTGAAATTTAACCATTTTAGAAGGAACCCACAAAATGTTGAAACTCATTTTAAGACCCACCTATTACAAAACCCATAATCCTATCATTAAAAAGTAAAATTTAAAAACCCCACAAGAAAATTTGATGAATAATATGCAAACAGGCACGTACCTATGATAAAGGGCATCGTTATGAGGCCGCCCTTCGATTTTCTTGAAGTTTGCTTTTGTTGCCCTGTTTCACTTTCTTCCATTTCCATTAGCTCCCCACCTATAGTGTGCGTTTACGTGTATATAGCTGTGTAGTAGATATATATATATATTGTGCGTTTACGTGTATATATATATTGAATTCAAATTTTCTTTTGCTGATGGTACAAGGAAAAATTGTTTGCTTCTACACTGCAAGATTCAGGGCCAGCTAGCCAACATGCTACTGTTTATGCCAAAAAAGTGAAAAGGGAGCAATAAAAAAAGGCCAAACTTTCTCAAAAATCTTTTGGAAAATAAAAATAATGGGAAAAGGAGATCTAATCATTTCAATGGCATGTGCGTGGGGAACTGTGTACAGTAGTAATTCATTATCATTTACAGACATGTAGGTATTTCATCTTTCTCAAAGCCTCAAACTTAATTTGATAAATTTATTATACATTATTACTATTGGTCATGGTAATAATTCTAGCCGTTTGCCCCTACCAGTTAACTGTACTTGGTGTTACTCTGGGTGGTTTAAGCCAAAAGCTCGATTTGAGTTTGCCTATTAAGCTCGTAAAAGTTTAATTTGATTCGTTTAATGAATTTAAAATCATAAAAAATGAGTTATTCAGAAAGATGATTAATTTTTCAAACTAATGAGCTCGACTCAGCTTGGCTCGTTGATCTCGAGCTTTCACGAGGCAATTGCATTGTGTTTGCAATTAACTATTGTAATTGAGGGATTTGAATTACAGCCCTAATGTAATTACTATAAAAAATATTAATTAGATTACAAGTTGAATTCTAGGCGTAGGCTAAGTTGCATCCAAAGATCCATTTATTTAGGCATTATAAATGTTTGTTAGTGCTTATACTTAAACAATATAATTAGTGATGAGCAAAAGCTATACTTTATCATTACTCATTAGTTATGTATGTTTTTAGACTTAACTGGTATTATACTTTAAAAAATAATATAAACAAAAATATGATATTTTATATCATATGCATTCATTTTTATTAAATATATATATATATATATATGTCATATTGATCGACCTAACGATTAAATACCTCACATAATAATTTAAAATTTTTAATAATTGCCATAAAAGAAAAAGGAAAATGAAGCCGTGGAGTCAAATAGTAGTATTCTTAATACCCTCGATCCAAGGAGCATGCTCGAATTAACTATTTACACAATCACTAATAGTAAATTAACAATCCTCATAAAGAAAGAGAATAAAAAAAAAAGTCATGAAATTTAAATTATCTAGTTTCTTAAGATTCCTTGATTCCTCTATATTTTCAAAGTCTAACAAGGGTAGACCCAATATTTTCTTGTTCATACTTGGTAGTCTAAGTTTCATAATGTTGTTAGTCAAAGATATTTTGAAGTGAACAAGAAAGAATGGAAGGGTAGGGAGTCAAATACAAGTTGCTACAGATTTTTAGGTAGACAGACATGTTAAAGATATATTTTTAAAATCAGATTTTATGTTTTAAAAAATAATATAAATAAAAGTATGATATTTTATAGCAAAAAAGTGTAATTAATCGATTTGTTTAACAATTAGTTTGCCGAATACAAAATTTTGTAAAATGAAAATAGTCAATGAATTGGTAGACATTTTCATAATGACAGTTAAGATTTATCTCATTAGAAGGTGAGCTAAAAATAATAATAATAATAATTTCATCTTATTTTATTTTTTTCTCTACAACACTACTAACACAATTAAAAAATAAAATTGAGATATTATTGTTTATTTTCTTATAAAAAAAGCTTTCTAATAAAAAAGTGTTATGCAATCATTTTTAATTTTTAATTTACAATTAGTATCAATAAATATTTTATAATTTTTCTATCAAATTAATTTTGATTATTATTTTTTATTTTATATTTATCTATAATTTCATTTCTATCCCAATTTTCTAAAAAAATCCATTTTTTTAAAATCTTAGTGCGGCACAAAAAGTAAAGCCAAAAACAAAAATAGCGGCAACGTCTTAAATCTTATTAATTGATTAAAAAATATTAAAAATAAAAAAAATGAGGAGGACTTTGCGTGTGGCAGTACAGTTTTGAAGAGTTGCAGTGAATAATCAATAAAGAAAAGGTAGGAGCAGCTTAAAAGTCGGCACTCAAATGAGGACCCCCACAAATTCGTTGTCTCCAAACTTTTTTATGGTACTCTTAATTTCATATTTTCAATCACTTTAAATTCGTATGTTCCCACATCATGAAATAAAAAATTAAGATTGTGATTTGTGAACATGACATGACATGACATTTTTTTTTTTTTTTTTTTATATTGTGAAATCTATGTTGTAATGACTGCAATCTTATATAGTTTGAGATCAATGAATCTTAGAATATTGTCGGCCTTTTTACGGGTTAATCCGTTTTTAAAATATAATAAAATATTTTAATTTTGTTTATATTAGTTTTCACATTATAATATTTTAATTTAAAAGTATATGTTTTATTGTTGAGATCATACATTTCTAAACGAGCAAAGATGGGATTCATTCTCGATTCGGGCCTGAACATATGGTGATTTTATTTTCCTTTAATAATATATAGTATAATACATAAACTTATAAATTTTACAATAACTTGTGCTTGCACCCAATGCATAAATATGTATATGTGGTTGTCTTTCCTAATCAAATCCGCGCTGAGTATAGTTGTTAAATGAAACGCGCTGAGTATGAACTCAGCTAATTAAGGCTCGTTTATTAATGAGTTGAGTTAAACTACTATGTTTAAAAATTACGTAATAATTTTTATTCATAAACCTTATTGAATCAATTATAGGGCTATTCCTAGCTATTCTTCGTATGTTATGTTATTTCCTCAGGGGTGTGAAACACTTATTTGCGGCTTCGTTGGAAATAGTCTTTTCTCTACAAGACAAGAAAAAATAAAGACTATGTAACTTTATTGCATTCAAAAAATTGTGGTTAAAATTGATGAAAAAAAATCAACCATGTTTATCGATTTGATTAGTTAACGAGTAAATTCGACTCGGCTCAATAAAAGTCTGATTCTTAATTTACCTATCACAATTTTGAGCCCCGCTTGACTTTTACTTGTTAGTAAAACCAAAGATTGGAACCTTACTTTGTGACAATAATAAAGGGCTCAAGGACCATCAAATGTCTACATTTAAGAAAGTAATTTTCGGTCTCTATCAATCAGGGCCGTCTCCAGAAATTTGGAGGCCCTAGACAAAATTTTCGATTTTTATTTGTATTTGTATATAGAAATTTATAAAATTTTTAATAATTAGACAATCTACATTATTAGAATTAAGTACACAAAGTATCATCACATATACAAAGAATTAATAAAATCATATTTAAAAATATATTTTTATAATTTTTTAATAGCAAGAACTCACTAGAGAACAATAAATTATGTATGACGTAGTTCAACTTTGATTTTAAATAATTCATATTGATAATAAAATAAAAATTAAGAATGGCTAAATTTATTTATTTGAGAAAATTTTAAGTTGAGTTTATTTGTGTTCTTTATTTTTCATAGATATAAATGACAAAATTAAATGGCTAAATTTATTTATTTGAGAAAATTTTAAGTAGAATTAATTTGTGTTCTTTATTTTTTATAGATATAAATGACAAAATTAAACAATATCATAAAACTTATATTAATATTTTAAGTATTAATATATAAAAAGAGCCCCTTATGGCGTGGAGGCAGCGCCTTGGGCAACTGGCCCAAAGCCGGCCCTGCTATCAATTAGAGACAGAAGTCAAAGAAAAGAAAATTTATTTATCAAAGACAGTCCTTTTTTTTCTCTTTTATTTCTCCATTAATAGCATATAAACAGCACGCATGGCCTACAGATTTTATATTCGAGAAAGTAAGCCAAAAACAACAACAAAAACAACAACAACAACAATAATAATAATAATAATAATAATAATAATAATAATAATAATAATAATAATAATAATAATAGTAGTAGTAATAGATTAACCT